AAAGGGAGGAGGGGGGGGGCGTTTTCGGGGGGGTGGGGTTTGGTTTTTTTTTTTTTTAGGAGTTTTTGGGGGGGAAAGGTTACAGAGGCAATTGGTTTTTTTTTTCCCCCCCCCCCCCCCCCCCCCCCCGGTGTTTGCCATCGGGGTTTGGGTTTTCGTCGCTTGGCAACGACGTTGTAAAACAAGCCCCCCACTCGGTGTTTGCCATCGGGATTGGGTTTTCGTCGATTGGCAACGACGTTGTAAAACAAGCCAATTCACTTCGTGAACTCGGCAACCAGGTTACCGTCTTTTTTTTTTACCTCTGTTTTTTTTTTTGGCGGTAACCATAATGGTGGTCGAGTAGATCATGTTGTGCGGGGTCGAGAAACCTCACTCCGCGCAACGGGGGATGATCGCACCACGTTGTGTTAAAATGGTCAAGCTTCCTCGAGGCAGTTACACAGTGCTTACAACTGTCTCTGGAAGTGAAAGCACCAGAAAATAAATTAAGTCATACGTAGCTGTCATCCGTACGCAAGGAAGTAAGCACAAGATGCCGAACACCCTTAGCAGGATGCAGCTCACCCTTCATGCGACTCGCCAAATACCTCACGGCGCTTCGCGCTTGGTGATGTGAGAGCCTGGTCCGGTGAGAACCCCGGCGTGCTCCGTCCCGGCTTTGTAGGGATGCGAGGTCAATGGTCAAACGACTACGGCATGCACGACTATGAGTACACCCCCCCCCCCCCTGCGCGTGATTTCCGCTCTTTTCCCAAATGGTCTCCCCGGTCGCCTGGTCTTCCTGGGCGACAAAAATGGGGCCGTGACTGGGGGGTTCCCTTCATGGGAAAGCACCTACAACAGGGGTCCACCACGTCCGGAGGAGCGCTATCTCTCACGTTTCGCGACGGAACGTGTGTTGCGGTGTTCTACTTCGGCAATCTGGACGTGGTCTACCGTTGCGCGTCAGCCGTGCTCATGCAATTCACGGATGTTGTTGCTGTTGTGCCGGGCGTTTGATACCTGATCCCTTAACCGGATGCATGACAAGCGAAATGATCTGGAATAGGGGCGGGAGGGCTACGATGACTGGGCCGGTGCACTTCACGAAACCCGCTCAGGCCAACTTCATCCAGGGTACCCGCTTGTATCCACATCCTCCACAGCCTCAACCTCCTGCGATGTCTCGGCGATGATTCGACCCAACTTGCCGTCCAGCATGGGCATCAATGGTCTTCACTGTCGCGACGCCAACGTCACAACTCTGTAGACCCGCCAAGCAGGTGTGCATCAAGCTGGGCGGCGCTCCGGAGCATTGCGACTCACGCGCGGAGGCGAACGTGGTCAATCCTGCCACCCCAACGTAGTCGACGCTTCCCGTAAGATCTCTTCATGCTGTCTCCATGGACCTGGCACGGTCGTGCCCCCAATCCGTGGGAGGTGCTCAGTAACTCATCATGCATATCCTGGGTGACCCTGCTAGGCTATGCCCTTACGGGACGACAACGGTAGTACACGGTCGTCGATTCCGCGTTCCGCGCATGGTACGCCTCCATCAAGCCGTAATACACGGTCGCGCACGGTGAGCCGGGGTGCGGTTCTGTTACCTACAATGACACCAAGGGCGTCAAAGAGGACTTTTGGAAGGACTCCGGTGGATCTGAAAAAGCCGCGGAATTCACGCCGGTCGACGGTTCCAAGAGTAAAGGTCTGGTGGACGGGAGGGTCGCACTGGTTTTGGAGGAAGTCAGGGCTGCGTGGGAGGCCCCTACATATATTGTTCACCGGCATTACGTTGCCGACTCGCCACGTTTGTCCTTCTGGGTCATCTGGCACGAGGCTGCCGCGCGGACGAACTGCGGTTAAACTTAGTCTAACGGCGAAGGTGAGCAAGGAGGACAAGCGGTGCTCCGAGGTTGAAACGTGCGACGACAGCAGGGCCAAGCTGGCGTTGCCGTTCATTGGCCGGCTTCGTTTACCGTCATCGTCACACAAGACGGATAGCCAGGGGGAGCGGTGCTGCGAACGCAGCTCCCGCGAGGATCATTCCTCCCCACTGACAAGGTCGTCACGCCGGCGAGGGTCGCCACATACTCTGCCAACTTGCACCTTCGGCTTCTGCCCCCAGGTTTGGGGGAGAGGTGCGTGCCCGCGGGGTCGTTCGCTGCGGTCTCTTTGCGGCCCTGTTCTTCGACGTTTTCCCCGAAGGTCCGGCGGTGGCTGCACCGGTGGCAGTGGCAGCGCCAGCGGCAACGCCGGCGAGGTGTGGTAGTTTCCCCCGCTATGCCGGCGGGGGAAACGGCCGCGTCGCCGGCGTTCGCGGCTGGAGTTGCGGCATCGGCCGTGGCTTGGTTTGGCGGAGGGGGGGTCCCTTTTGCGGCTTCAGTAGCGGTAGAGGTGGCAGAAGTTGCGGTGGCAATGGTAGTGATGAAGGGGTTGGGTATAACCTGGACGACAACGCCGCTGGCACGCCCTTTCGACCCCGGAAAAAGTTCTTCTCGTGACCCTGAAGGGATGGGGGTGATGGTGGGGGTGGCTCATCAGTGCGAAACGAAGTAGAGGGTTTTGGAGTTTGCAGCTTGAAGGGTGATGGGAATCGTTCAATAGGAATACAAGCAGCAACGACAACACGACGCCAACTATGGTTTCTGAACACCCTTCCCCGCACGTATATATCTGGGTCCTTGTTTTGGTGTTGATATTGTCCGGCGTTTGTAGGCAACTTTCAAAACTTGGTGGACGTTTCGCGCTTTTTGTGGAGTCGAACGTTCACCTTTTTCGATGAAGGTTTTACTTGATGGCGTTTGTTTCCGGTCAAGTTGCTGGCCTGGTATTTCTTCGGTTCGTTTGCGAGCTATTCTTTTCGTCTTTGTTTTGGAGGAAGTATTGGCATGTTGTGATAATTCATGGTTGTTCGAGAAACATGACTTTACTGCATCCAAACATTTCGTTCTAAGTACTTGGCACACAGGTCCGGGAGTTACCCATCCGTCCCATTTCTGTGACGCGACTGTCGATGTATTGATAGCCCTTGGTGGGAATCGTTCCTACGGGAAGTGGGTGTTGACTGCTTGGAACATGGTAAAGTGTTTCTCTCAAGAGGGTCGGTTTGAATGTTGTTTGGGGCATTGCTGTACTTGGGTACGACATCCGATCTGGAGGAACATGTGTATGGTATTGGGGACCCAACTGCGGCCCCCCTCGAGAAAGAGCACGCACGTGTGGTACATTGTCTCTTTGTGTTTGTTTGTGTGCTTACTATTGGCATCGAACGCGCTAACCGACTGACCAATGAAAAGACGAAAGTCTCAGTGCGGTTGAAAACACAAAACACCTCTGTGAATGCCATGAACAGGGACACCGTGAGGGGGCGGCATGGGGAAAGCTGAGCAATTCTCCGGGTTAAAGACAGAAACGGTAGGAACAGAAGAAAACTGCAGGTGTCTACCGAGGCCTCTACCTTGCGCTCGAGTTCGTTTTGGAGTGGGGACATCATCCTCCGTGCTTTCACCACCATCACTTTCATTGTCATTATTTCAGCAATTTCGGCCGTTCTACTCTAGGCCCGCGTCGTTTGTTGTGGAGAAGGTCATCTGACTCGAAGCTCTTGCTCTCTTGTGTGTGTGCTGTGTCCTGGAAGGAGCACGGCGATGTGGTATGCAAGGTTTTTTGTCATCTTGATCGTCCCCAGATGCAACCGATACATACTATTGTGGGAAGGCGCGGTGGCCTTGGTGGGAAGGCGCGGAGGCAACCAACACATGTTTGCAGATCTTTCGGTAAGTTGACGCCATAATCAGAAGACTTTGAAAGATTTGGAAGAACGTGTTTTGTTGAGATAAGTAGGTATTGGTAACTTAGCGCGTTGTTTTATGCGGTCAGGTGCATGGTTTTCGGCTTTGGCTTGGTAGTTGGACTTGTTGCCGATTTACCAGGTGGTATGCGAAGGGTTCCTGCCGTCCATCGTAGTAGAGTACCGTGGGGTGGGGGGTGGCTTTGGTGGTTCTCTGCACCCGATACTCAACTACGGGGACTCCGAGGTATATACTACGGTGGGGTCTCCGGAAGCGCTGACTGCTGTCGTTAATCACGCTAGTCGCGATGATTGAAGCGGACTTTTGATAGCATTCTATGGGCCTTTCGGTGGATGCCCATGGTTGGCCTCTCAAGGGCACCATTTCATTGATGACCCACCCATGACGGGCATTCCATGGGCTGCCGATGGTGAGCATCATGAGCATTGTGTGGGATGCCCATGATGGAACGCTGTTGGACATGACCATTGGCATGTCCGTGGACCGCTTACTATTGGCAAAATTTATCTCAAGTGTAAGCTTACGATGTGCAGACCATAGAACGCACATGGCCTTTCCACGTGAGAAATCCATGGGGGCTGCTCAAGTGCATTTCTCGTTCCATGTCTAACACTCGACTATGCACGTGGACCTCGTGCTGAGTCCTTATTGTTCATCCCCGTGTTTTCTCCCTACAAGGTGGGCAATCATCTCTAGACCAGGGGCATCCGTTGTTTCTTGCCCATTGAAGGACCCCAGCGTGACCTTTCGCAGCCGCTTGAGAGCATGTGTCCTCACCCCAGGGGCGTCCATTGTCCATAACCCATTGAAGGACCTCAAGATTTCCGGACCAAGCCGCTTTGGAGCACGTGTTCTTGTCCCACGGGCATCCGTTGTTCCTTGCCCATCGAAGGATTTCAAGATGCCCCTTCCGAGCCGCGTTGGAGCACGTGTCCTTTTCCCAGAGGCGTCCGTTGTTTCTTGCCCATCGAAGGACCTCAAGATGTCCGCCCTCAACCGCTTTGGTGCACGTGAGACTGTTCCGGGGGCATCCGATGCTTCTTGCCCATTGACGGACCTCGAGGTGCCCGTTGTCAGCCGCCAGGTTGCAAGTCGTCTCGTCCCAGGGGCATCCGTTGCTTCTTGCCCATTGAAAAACCTCAAGATGCCCGTTGTAAGCCGCCCCATGCAAGGTCTTCTTATCCCAGGGGCATCCGTTGTTTCTTGCCCATAGGAGAAGCTCGAGATGTCCTTTCCGAGCCGCCAAAAGGCACGTTCTCTCGTGCCAGCGACATCCGTTGTCTCTTGCTCATTGAAGGACTCGAAGATGTCCGTTGTCGGCGGCCTTCTTGCAGAGCTGCCCATCTCCCACGTCGACGTACCAGTCCGGATGTCTACGGTTCCAAGAGAGGTCGCCAGAGGCGAAAATCAGACGATCGGTCGCTCAACACTGCAAGTGAACATGCGGAACATATTCCCATTATCGAACCTGAACGCCCCGGAAAAATTGATGCACAACCGTAGACTATCGTTCACACGAGTGACTTGTTCTTCAATATTTGCATAGCTATGTTGGCCACGTTAATGGGCGGTAGAGAAGGGAGAGCATCAAGGCGCGGGCCTGTTCTGCGAAGGCAAGGCGGACGGCCACAAACACGGCCCATAGTCATACCAGGAGCACGCATATTGAAGATGGTTGTAATAAAATTTATAGCTCCTAAAATAGAAGCTGAATCTGGTAGGTGAAGATTGTAGACATAGCTAAGTCGACAGAAGGACCCGAGTTAGCTTGGATCCCATTTGATGGCGGATAAACTGTCCACCCTGTACCTGCCCCGATTCTACTAAAGAAAAAGCTAATAGAAGATTAAAGATGGAGGGAGTAACCAAAAACTATTGTTATTCATACGTCTTCGACGTATTCGTCACGCAAGGAGTCAGACCTGAACGATGAGGGAGGATGTCGCCCGTCAGGCATTTGTTGTTGTTGTTGTTGTTGTTGTTGTTGTTGTTGTTGGTTTCACATCAAAAACCGTTCCGTTCTCTCTGCCTACTTCTTCTATTCGTACTAGTCTAACACTTGACGGGGTCGATTCCCGTGGTCACAGGCTAACTTACCAAAAAAAGGAATACGAAAATAAAATGGACCCGAAGGGTCCGCAAGCCATTAGAAGTCAACGACAGATAGTCTAGGCCACTTCACTCGCCTCTACACGCTATGCGATGTAACCCTATACTGGCAAAAGAGAGGAAAAGAAAAAGAAAGGGAAAAGAGAAAGAAGAGAGCAGATGGAGAGAAGAGAAAGAGAAGGAGAAAGACACAGACAGAGAAAGACACACGCCGCATGGACAGTACGCACCAACCGAGGTCGCCGCCGACGACAGCAAGACAGTTCTGGGGAAACTTGACAGTCTTGTCCGGAGGATTCCCTCCAAAGAGTGCGTGTATATCCTGATGGATGCCAATGCTCGGACGGAGAGAGGATGGACGAGAAGGACGAGGGCGTCATGGGGATACACGGGCGTGATGAGCTAAACGAGAATGGCCGCCTACTGCTGACCTTCGCAGTGGAAAACAAGCTAGCACTCGCGAACACGTTCTTCGAGAGACGCAAGGGCGGAATATGGCACACATACAGCGGTGCGTCAGGGGCCAACCGCTGGCGCCTCGACTACATTCTATCGCGGCAGGCACACCGCGGCCGAGTGTCTAGCATGGTTGTCATCCCCCAGCCGGTATACCCAGTCAAGGCGGACTCAGACCACAACATGGTGATAGCCACCGTCAACCTCGGTGGCAGGCTTGCCCACAACCGAGCAGTCCGGACCAAACCGAAACAAAAGCAGTTCGACCGACGGGAACTGCAGGTCGAAGCAACCCGATGGGCGGTGACTACGCGGTTCCTCCTCAACCCCGAACAACGACAGGGCAAACGAGCGACTACCACCCCGGAGAAGTTCACCAATGCTCTCCTCGAAGCGGCGAGGGCGATACTACCCGACGAACCGCGGAGACGACGCACGTAGGAATGGTGTGAGACCCCTGAGGTCCTCACCAAACGGCAGGAAGCGCGCCGAGCGATGAAGGACAAGTTGAACACACATCGTGGAGGGCCCGCAAAGCAGATTGTAAGGGAGTGACCGCAGCAGTCGAAACGGGCATATATGCCCACCTGAACTAATTTGTGACGCAACTCGAAGCGATGTACAAGGACCGCGATGTGAGAGGCCTCTACAGTACCAACACCTCAAGAGATCTGTGGGGCTCAGTGGGAGACAAGCGGGAGGACAGCAGCCCGTTGCGGACGAGAATGGCGTGCTGCTTCGGAGAAAGAACAACATCCTCCAGCGATGGGCGAGATTTTTCGGCACCCTCCTCAACACCAAGTCCCCCACCCTGAACCCAGACAGCATCGAACAAGTGACGCAGCGACCGGCGGCAATTGCCACGCGACGGTCAGGAGCGGTGCCAGACCTCGAGGAAGTGAAACGGGCAACGAAAGGACTGCAGAACTGGAAGGCACCCGGCAATGACTCCCTCCCTGCCGAGTTGCTCAAGATCGACGACGACGACGAGGAACACACCGTCCTGGAGCACCTCCATGCCATCCTCGTTGAGGTGTGGAACGAAGGAGAGATCCCCCAAGAGTGGAAGGACACAACCATCAAGGTGTTGCACAAGAAGGGTGACCGGTCCAACTGCAACAACTTCAGGGGGATCCCGCTCCTATTTAACGTAGGCAAGGTCCCCGTCAAGATCATCACCAACCGCCTAAGCGCCTTCTGCGAAACCAACACCATCCTCCCGGCGGAACAATGCGGGTTCCGACCTGGGCAATCAAGCATCGACGCGCTGTTCGTCGTGCGCCAACTCCAGGAGTTGGGGCGGAGAAGGAAAATACCACTCTACATGTGCTCGTCGACCTGAAGAAGGCGTATGATTCAGTGGACCGAGAGCTGCTGTGGAACGTCCTCGCCAGGGCCGGGATTCCTGAGGAGATGATCGCCGTCATCCGCCACATCCACGACGAATGCGAGCCCGGGTGCACATGGACGACGGAGAGTTTTCGGCCTGGTTCTGGGTCACACAAGACCTACGACAAAGGTGTGTGCTGTCCCCACTGCTGTTCAACATCTTCTTCGTGGCCGTCATCGAGGTCCTTGCCATTCGATTCAGCGAGGATGATGATATTCTGCAGAACCTGGTGTACCTGGAGGAGGAGACGGGAGCGGGGGCGAAGACACTACTTGACCGAGTGCGGAGGGCGGTATGGGGGATGCTGTGTGCCGATGACGCCGGCGTCGTATCGAGGTCTGCCGAAGGACTGGCGAGAATGATGACGGTCATCGTGGAGGTGTTCGGGGGAGTTTGGGCTGACGGTATCGGAGAAGAAGATGGAGACGCTCCTGATGCGCGCAAAGGAGAAGCAGGCAACAACACCACCGCCCCCCCCACCTCCAGCGCTGATCATCGAGGCAGCAGGGCAGAGGTACGCCCAGACGACTGAATTCCGGTACCTAGGTGGCCTCGTCAACGAACATGGCGACTTCACCCGGGAGATCAATTGCCGGAGCAGGGTAGCGTGGGCATGCGTCAGGAGATATGGCCAGGAGCTCTTCGACAGGCGTTCCGACTGAAGACCCGCCTTCTCCAGGCCGAGGCGATGGAAGCACTGCTGTACGGCTGCATGACATGGGCTCCACGTCAAGACCAGTACCGGACGCTGCGGACGATACACCACCGACTGCTCCTGCGAGTTATCGGTTACCAACGCAAGAAGGGCACCTACCGGCAGCTTTCCTACGCCCAGACCCTGAAGAGGGTAGTGTGCCAGAGCGTAGAAACCACGATTCGGCAGCGGCGCCTGCTGTTCGCGGGAGCGCTGGCAAGGCAGCCAGACGGACGACTCCCGAAACGGGTGATGCTTGGCGAGCTGGTGAGGGGGGAGGACCCCTGCAGGGGAAAACCGGAGCAAAACTGGCAAATGTGCCTGAAGGATGACCTCAAGATGTTCGAAGCAGAGCACGGATCTACGGACGCCGAGCCATGCTTCTTCGGAGTCCCGGACACAACTTGGATGGAGGCAGCGAAGGTGGACGGGGGGGTACCGTGGCATACAGGGGTACTGCAGGGAGCTAAAAGGTTCATGGCGTCCTGGCACAAGAAGGAAGAGGAGGCTAGCCGACAACGAACGCTCAAGCGAAACAAGAAGCCCGGCAACGACACGGACACGGCAACAACCACGGGGACGAGAGGGATACAGCAGGCGGACGAGACGGCGAAGAACGACAGGAAACGCGAAGAGGCGGACCGAGTGGCGCGAAGCACTGTATCGAACCCCTTGCTTGACTTATATCCCACCCCCCCCGGCACAGCACCATTGCACCAACCCCCCGCGAGCAATGACGTGCATTTTTTGGCTCGGGTGGCCCGTTTGTATTGCTTTGTGTGTTGTCTTGTGTTGTTCTGTTTGTTAGCTTGCAGCTACGAACTTGACAGCTCCGCGGTGGCCTGTCATCTCAAATCTCATGGCCATGAGGCGTTCGTTCATCGACATAGTTCGTGGTGAAAGTGGAGGTCTTGCACAGTGACTCTTTAACGGCTATTCCCATACCTGCGCTTCTCCGTACCACAGCAGGACGCTCGGAAACCCGCTACTGCGAACGCCGTTTGACCTGGCCTCCTGGTCTCCTGCAGCCCTACCACCGATACATCTTGTTTCGCTGCCTCGTGTAGGATGCTGTAGGCTCGCCCGTACCCATTCTTCCCGTTTACAGCCAGAATCCGCACATTCCAGGTTGCTACCCTAAGAAGTCGACCCTGATGTCTCTCTCGGGCGGTGCGTGCTGCTCTCTTAGCCAGCCTACGCTTCGCCCGCCCCCTCTTTTTCTCCTTCGTGCCCTCTTTTTCTGTCGTTGTTTTATTTTTTTGCAAGTTACCCCGGTGCTTGCCTTTTTTCCAGCGAGTTGTCTCGTCCCGGAGCGGTGCGGCCCTCCAGCTCTGGACCCTCTCCTTTTCCCTCTCTGGTGCATACCCCCACGGTATACCTCGTGCTCTCTGCTGCTGCATGGTCCCGGTGTCCAAACCGGGGCGTCTGGATTCAGTCTCATTTGCAGCTACCCAAGTCGGCTAGGTCACGAGCTACCTCGATCTTACGACAGCGGTAGTTCCCGGTCGCCAAACTCAGGATCCCCTTCTGATCAGTGCTAGGGACTGTGTATCCGTCTTTGTTGGGCGGTGTTTCGAGGTCTAAGTCCACTTACGGACTTCGGCCCACCCCTGCAGGGAGGGCGGCAGGCCGGGGGAAGAGGT